GTGTGTGTGTGTGTGTGTGTGTGTGTGTGTGTGTGTGTGTGTACAGAAAGCAGATGCTCACTTCCATGTTTGAGGACAAAGCCTTCCCATTCCACCCTCATGGCAGAATCAACTCCCTTTTATAGCTGCCTCACTCGAGAATTGCTCTTAGCTCAAATAAAACACTTCGCATTTTACTTTTCCTCAATTTACCTCTTAACAGTTGTACATATGTATCTATAGTTAGATGCTCCACTTCTCTGGGTAAACAAAAGGAGTTTCAGTTTCAAGACATCAAGGAATTAGCATCTTGATTGATCTTGAATGGATGATAATATAAGGAGCCCTCTAAATAAATAAATAGAAAATGCTGCTACACATGCCAAACTTTGGGACCATACTCAGTTCGCTTTAGGAATGGTGGTCCAAGATTGTTAGCCATCTGAGGAGTTTTGCATGTTGAGGATGAGGCTAAATTTTGGATTTCCAAGTATGAATTACAAGATACCCTTTACGTCTGCTCTCAAAAGATTTGATATTGTCAAATAATTATCTCTAATAAAAAAAATTTCCAACCAAGTGCAGATGAACAACAAACTGTTCAAGGATACTCTGTGAAGATGAGGACAAAAATCTGTATAATGAGAGCAGATGACAGAATTGTGATCCAAGTGGCTTTGTTTGCACAACTGTTAGCCCAGATGAAAAAGGTCCAGAGAGAATCCACCAAACAGACAATAGGAAATGTGAAATGGGACACTTTCTGAGAACGTGTGTTCATACCCGTTCCCATTTCCTTCAGAAAGATTTGATGTGTCTCAATAGACAACTACATGAAAGCCAACGGCATTTCATGAAGGAATGTGTGAACATCTTGGGTGGGCAAAGCTCCCCCCAGAGCTGCCCTTATCCCTGGAAGCCATGAACGTGTTACATGGTGGAAAAGACTTTTCAGATGTAATTGAGGTTACAGACCTTGACATGGGCACATTGCCCTGTATTCTCCAGGCAGGCTCAATGGAATCTTAAGAGCACTTGGGGATTTGACTCTGGTTGGTGGCAGAGAAGCCCAAGGGAAGTGTGACAGAAGAGTTAGGCAGATTAGAAATAGATGTCTGTGCTGTTGCTGGTTTAGAAGATGGGTCCAGCAATGTGACTAGGAAAACAGACAGCCAGAAGGATTCAAGAGTCCCCTGCTGACCAGTAAGGAAACTGGATCTCATTCCTACAACTCCTCAGTCTTTCAACAGAAAGTTAAAATGTCAGAACAATGGTTTTGTTCTGTTTTATTTAAATGATGGGTGTCCTCAGAGCTAACATAAGAACATGAGCATGAGCCATAGAGCAGACAAAGTGTTAGAAATGGTGAGGCTGAACCTTTGATCCAAACATATAGGAAGTGTCAATAACCGTTTGAAATAGATATGCAGCAACCACAACCCAAGTGGGCATGTGCACAGGTAAAATCCTATTTTCTTCAGAGGTAATGAGATGGGTTGGCTTGTCCCTCCCTCAGATTCACAGGGAGCTCAGACTATGACAGTATCTGGAAATAGGTCTTCCCTAGTGAGGGTGGAGCAAGTCATGCTCTGTTGGTGGGAATGTAAATTAGCACAGCCAGTAGGGAAGACAGTGTGGCCCTTCCTCAAGAGACTAGAACCGGAGCTACCTATGACCCAGCTCCTAGGCTTATAGCCAAAGGAAATGCCATCTGTGTGTCAGAGACACCTGCACTCACAAGGGTGTCACACACTGTTCCCAACAGCCAGGATCTGGAATCCACCCAGTTGTCCATCCGCAGATAAATGATTTTTTAAAAAATGGTATATAAACACAATGGAATGATGCTCAGGTGCAAAAAATCGTGAAATCTGGTATTTCCCATGGCATGGATGAACCTGGAGCACATTATGTTAAATAAGCAAGGCACAGAAAGACAAACACTGCATGATCTCACTTTCTTGTGAATCTAAAACAGCAGATCTCATAGAAGTTGAGAGTAGAATAATAGTGACTGGAGCCTGGGGGCAAGGATGAGCATAGTCAACAGGTGCATTGCATATCTCAAAATAGAGAGGAGATTTTAAATGTACTCATCCAGAAGAAATGATAAAAATTTATGGTTATGGACATGCTATTTATCCTGAGTTGATCATTCATCACCCAGTGTATACATGAATTGAAATGTCATATTGAAGTTCATAGATATGAACAAATTTACATAACAAGAAAAAGTACAATTGATTTTTAAAAACTTAAATTTAAACAAATGAGGTCATTAAAATGACCTCCAATCTAATATGATAGGTGTCCTTATTTTTAAAAAGCAGGGGGGATAGCCAGGCAGAGTGGTACACATCTATAGTCCAGCAATTTGGGAGGTTGAAGCAGGAGGATTGCATGTTTGAGGCCAGCCTCAGAGATTTAATGAGGCCCTAAGCAACTTAAAATAAAATAAAAGATAAAAAGGGCTGGGGACATAGTTCAGTGGTTAAGTGGCCCTGGGTTCCATCCCTAGAGCCAAAATAAAAAAGGGAAATGAGAACACAGAGAAACACAGAGGGAGAACATCCAGAGAGACACCATGTGGAGATGGAGCATTGGATGATCCACCTGCAAAGCTAGAGATTCTTGCTGCTTCCACCTGGGCCCCAGCACACTACTGTGCAGCTGACCTACGGAGGTCCGATTCAGGCCTCAGTACGCTGCTGCTGTCACTCTGCCAGGAGCCCCTTGACTTTTAAATTCTTTTTAAAAATATTTAGCAAAAATTATACACACACACACAAGTGTGTGTGTGTGTGTGTAAGGTACACATAATATAAATATATATCATGTATGGATTACCATTGTCAGATTAATTAACACATCCATCCCACCACTCACAGTTACCACTTGTGTGTGGGAAGAGGACTAAGGACACTTAAAATCTGTTCTCATCAACTTCCCAGTAAATAACACAGCAATATTAACTACAGTCACCATGCTGGCTTACTTTGTTTTTAATGGGGATGATGAAAAGAGATTGGGAATTATGAACTGAAATGCATGTCTACCAGATAAGCTTCATTAAAGGGTCATGTGTGGGGACAATTTTAAACAGGCCACCATTTATGGAGCTTCCCTTCATCATGCTGCTCCATAGGACAGTCACATGATAAATGATCATGAGTACTTATTTTTTTTTCCTGTTTTATTGCATGGTACATATGCTTCCCAGAGCCTTGGCTTCTCTAGAATATCTTAGGTATTTCTTTCATCTGATAAATGAAAAGCATGTTTTGTCCAAAGTGACTAATAGTTTAACTTTACCAGTGATTGCAACTTTCCTTT